CTTTTTTTTTGAAAGGAAGCCTTCTATAACAGAATATAAATGAGAAAAAGGTTTAGTGAGAATGGGGGAGGGTGGCGGGACTGCGGCGTTCTTACAGGAGGTTTTATCATTTAATGTTCTAGCTGAAGACAGTTTGACATATCCTAAAGAAATTGTTTATAATTCCTACATAGCACAGCTATTAGGGCAACTGATTCCTGGGAGACGTCCACTGAAATGGAGATGGCAAATTTGATTCTTTCATGAAAAAGAAATGAGGAATGCCACAACAAAGTAAATGTGGGTCACAATGTACTGTGCATTATAACTACTTGCCACGGAAATGTGTCCGAGGCACAAAACTCTCAAGCATCTCAGAGTCTGGGAGTATGTGGATCTGGGCATTGGTTCATTCCATGATGAAGACACTTACATTACCTGGATCTCAGTTTGGGTTTGGAAACTTCCCATCTCCCTCCAACTTTCTGGGATCATTCAGATCTAGATGCTGAGTCAGGCCTGTGTTCATTTTACAAAACAAAGTGGGGAAAGGAGGATCTAAGGGAGGGGAAGACTCTGAAGAGCACTAGTGTCTAGAAGGTGGTTAGTTGGGCTGTGCAAAAGAGACCCTATTTGATTCGGATTTGGCCCGAATTGGGGACAGTGATTTGATTAGTTGATTCAGATCACTGTCCCTGATTCGATTTGGCTGAATCTGAAGATTCGATGCTGATTCGGAGAATCAGCAACTCGGCCATAGACACAGCTTTAAACGTTTTTTCTACATACCTTGAGGTACCTGGTGCAGCTCATGAACACTGCAATACTGGGGCAGATGGAGCATCCCACAGTACTTCCAGTTCACTTCCGGGTCTGCCAGGAAGTGTGGGGGCCCCCCTCGTGCTTCCTTGGCCCGGCTATTGGCCGTGGGGGGACTATGGGTGCCCCCCCAGACCCAGGAGGCACCAGTCACCAAGGCGGAGGGCTGTGGGGGGGCCCCCAGCATGCTCCCCAGTGGACCCGGAAGTGGACTGGAAGGGCTTCTGGTCCACTTCTGGGTCTGCTGCCGAGTGTGCTGGGGAGCCCCTCGCCCTCCTGTGGGACATTCCATCTGCCCCGGCATCACAGTATTGACGAGCCTCCTGCTACTTAGAGGTAGGTAGAAAAAACATTTAAAGCTGTGTCTATGTCCGAATTGCTGAATCTTTCTGAATCTCTCTGAATCAATTCATGGGGTCTGATTTGATTTGGGGAGATTAAAGGGTTTCTTGATTCAATTCGGATTCAGAGATTCAGCCACCAAATCAGACCAAATCTCTGCCAAATCAAATCAGCGACTGAAGCTTCACACAGCCCTAGTGGCACCAGTTGGGAGAAAGAGCTGCAATTCAGTCATTGGTATTTAGAGTCAAGCAGGCAGGAAGAGGGCAAAAAGGTGCTGATATCAGTGAGGTATATGTATTGTTTAGCTATAGAGAGCAGATAAGATCATATAATTGAGAGCTAGAGAAATGTACCAACAATTGGAATCAATGCTGGGATATTCACCAAGGGGGAAACAGCATGAAGCTGCGAATTAGCAAACATACTCAGTCCAGGGGATGGGCAAGGAAAGACTGAAATTCCAGACTACTACAGATGCCAGGGTTATGATTTCATGGTGAAGAGTTTCACGCTATTTACTTAGTCCTTCTAGAAAGGAAAACTTTTGTTTTCCAAAGTGTTTCCTGTGTCAGGAGGAAGAAGGATTGGTAGCCCACTTGTTTCTCTTTTAAATGAACGAGCTCTAAATGCAGCTTTGGAGCTTGCAGAGACAAAGGTGGCAGTGCACATGCACCTCAGATAGAAATACAAGTGTTCTTGGGAATGGAGACTTCCTTTGTGCTGCTCTTCCTATTTATATGCCATCCATGGAACAGCCCAGGAGAAATAAAGATGCAGGACTTGCAACCCATTTTCTCCTATCAAATGAATCCGAGTCAAACCATAGGCAACTGCAAGCTACAGCGCCCCATTTCTTGTGCTCCTGACACATGAAGACTTCAAAACCTAGGATCAAATTCTGCCTTCTCCTGGATTTTTGTAGCCCATTCAGGATTCTACTGTGGCCCCTAGCCATACCCTTTATGAAATTCCTTGTGGGTTGACTTAACCCATTGGGGAGTGCATGTCACATGTCTATCTTTGTGTCAGTCCTTAGAGGAGAGGAAGTGCTAGTGCTCCAAGCTATGGTAGCCACATAGGGTTTTTGCCCTAGAGGTCCTTGATTTAGCCCCTTGTGTGTTGGGCAAAGATAGCAGCTTTCATACAGGCGGACCTGTTGATAGCCTTAGATATAATCTATCCAAGTGACTCTGTGCTGGCCAGTCATGGTATACAGTCATTTGAACCAAGTATGGTGAGATGTGTCCTAGAAGGTGTTAGCAGGGAGCAGTTCTTGCACTCGAGCATTTATGGACAAAGATTGTAACTGGGCCCTGAACAGAGAGCACGAGAAATAGAGGTTTCTTACCTCCTTGCATCCATCACAATCTGGTCCTCAGGACATCTGCAAGGGCAGCACATAGCTCCTAATATTTACATAACCATAATTGGTTAATAAAGCATTTTTCTTAAATTATAAGCTGCACATTATAGGCTCATTTGGCAGTCAGACTGCCAGTCAGAGACAACAGATAGTTATTCCTTCAGTACATCCTAGCTGGTGTCAGCGCTGTGCTATTTGCAGACCTGAAGCTGACTAGGTCCTGTCAATTTTAGGGCTGCTATTAAAGGCAAAGGGGCCTTTGAGTTAACAAGGGAACAAGCTTTAGTGAGATGTAAACAGCTGAGAACTGGCCCTTCCCACTCAACTTGGTGGATAGGTTTAGATTGGCTTAAGTGTTATCTTTAACATTGAAATCATTCAGATTTGGCAATTAGTTTTGTAGAATTGGCCAATTCAAATAGCTCTCCACAACATCCACAGGCATCTTAAGTAGACATCTTTTTTTGCTATACACTTCACACAAAAATATTTCTGAACTAACTCCTCCTAAAAAAAATACCTCTGTTCTCCAGCCTTTTCCCACCACATATATTCCTTTAAGAACAATAGTAGTTCTTTGTGTACATCTCTACAAAAAGAAATAATTCCAGAACTCATTTCTGTATAAGAATATATTATTTAGAAGATACATTTAAAAATAAAAATTCTGTACATCTCCAGAAGTTCATTGTTTTGCATCCATGAGGATAAAAATATGCTCTTGTGGTGGCCTCAGTTTTTCTCTGTCATCGTTGCCATATACTGAAGGGTTCCATGATGCTTAGCTGCACAGTTCTGGCACAGAAAGGAAAATTTAGATCAATTATATTAGGTTCTAAATCTAAAGTAAACACCATAAAATTCAGAGGATGATATAGATACATATAATGTCTGGTTCTAATCTCTGGAACATCATTAGGCAAACAAAGGTTTTGTTGCCATAGCCACTGCCCCTCTTCTTTTAGGAGACAAGGACTTGTTAGAGTAAGCTATAGTGCTCAGACTGCCATCTGCACGCATGTACTGCATTAATCTGAATGACAGGGTTTGGTCTTCTGTGAATGTTTTTCCCAAAAAGGATGATTAATCAAACTTCATCTTGCTCCTAAGGACCTTGAGCTTTATTTTCCTTGGGCACAAGAAGGAGTTGGTCTGCTGAAGTCAATGGAATTGCAACCCGTTATGTGCATGGTATATTTGATGGATTGTGTCTTCTTTTTAAATAGTGTTTTAAAACCAAAATCACCTTGTGACATATATTGTGCTCAGAATACTTTTCTTTTCACTTCTCTGTGCTTCCACTCTTCTTCTTCTGCATCTAAAATACAGAGAAAGGCAGAATAAATATCACTGGGTGCATCAATACATGCAATTAACGCATGTCATAAACTCCAGAGTTGTTTGTATACACTGCTCCCAGGCACAGTGTCTACACCTGCACCTGGGACACCACCAATTCGAGCCAGGGCAGAGCAGGCCCAGGCTGGAGAAGGGGTAGAGTGCCAGAAGTGTGGAGCTGTTTGGCTCCTGGCTGGGTAGCAGGGACAAGTCTGGCTCCTTGCTGCCTGGCCTGACTGGGCACGATTTAGGCTCACGGTCACCATCTACATGTTCATTTCATCACAGTTAATGACTCCACTGTAAGACTGATGCTGCTGTGGCTAGCTGATCCCTAATCTCTCAAATGCAGTGTCCACCAAAGATCTAATGAAATAATATGCATTAACTTGGTCATTCTAACAGTTATGGTAAGTACCTTGGCTTAGGTCAGCTCAGTACTTCTCATTATCCTCTGAGTTAATGTCTGCAATAGTTAGCTACCTGAGATTGTTTGATGGTATTTCTGACTTCACAGAGTTTCCATTGTAGTAGCACTCCTTGTGCCAATATACTGCAATTAAGGCTCTAGCAGTTTCCAAAGAAACACTGTTTTTGACAGTGCTATAAATCAGAAATAAAAAATTTACCTTAGCTTGAAACTTGAAGAAGTACCAACCTGCTCTCACTCCTGCCTTTACTTTCTTTTCTGTTTTCTCTAAGGAAGGTTCTATGCTGCTGTGGTAGACCTGGGAGTTCTTCCAAGACTGTCTTCTCCTTTACAGAGCATCACACTCAAGACCTATGCTCCATGACTTAATGGTTTATCGGTCTTAAAATGTGCACTGCTGGAGCTAGGACTGGCCTTCCTAAGTATGTAAAAACTGCCTAGCACACAATGGATGCTACTGCAAATAATCATTACCATCACCATCAAGAGACCAACTCCTTGTAAAGGAAACCTCCCAGGTGACCATGCATATCAATTTTGCTCAGGAAAACACTTTCTTACTTTCCTTTAAGCAAACAGTGTGACGGATAGTGTGCAGTTGGTGTAATTTAAATGATATGAGCTAGATAAACTGTGGGGGGGGGTTTATCTGTGCCTCATATGCATGAAGTTTAGTGGGTCTCACCAAAGTCACTGGAACTAATCACATGCCTGAAATTTAGTGTGTACACACATGCTTATATCAGTATGTTTTGTTCTTCAGTGATTCACTTGCCTGAAGACAGATTTCAATATGCTTGGCAATTAAATGTTCTGTCAAAGAGATGGTCAGGCTAGCTAAGAAGGGTTATAGGATCTGCCTGCTGTTCCCACTGAGTACTGGTTTGCTTACAGTGGGAGATACTATACCAATGTAGCTATACTGCTAAATCTGCAGCAGAGCAGAGGTGTCATATGGAGCAAGAAATGTACGAATTAAGGTAATTTTTTATTTCAAACCTAGCTAAGCTGAATCAATGCAGTGCTCTCTTTATTGCATTGTACTGCTGGATACTGAATCAAACAATGGGGTTTGTGGATAGGTACACTCTTTGCCACCGTGCCAGAATTGAAAACAAACTGAAAGTTCCTTGAAATCAGAGTGGAAATGGAAAAAAAACTCCAGAGAACAGGGAGAGATTGTCGTGAGTGACACTAATCTAGCACACTGTGAGAAGAACTGCAAGACAAAAAAAGATCTTTTCAACTATAAAAAAAGGAGCATTTCCATACTCTGCCATGCTGTTATTGGTGCTTGTGTCATAACATTCAGATGGCAACCATTTACAATCAGAATGTACCTTCTGGGGTTTTTTTTCCTCTTCTGGGTCTATAAACTTTGTTTTTATTTACAGTTATTTGATCTGGATGTAATAAACTTGATGTCACTTGCTGCTGGGCATTATGATGACAAGAAAGGAAAACTAAACTCTGACCTAAGAAGTGGCTGAGTCAGGAGAAGAGAGAATAGTTTGAGCCCTAGGGATATAATCCTATACCACAGAAGTCTGTGGGGACATGATAAGGCATTGAGTTAAAGACAAAGGAGTCATGATTTTCCCGCTCAACCAGGACTGAAAGGGATCTGGCAAAAGTGCATATGGTCACACAGAGAGTGAGAATCAACTCATGTGAAAGCTGAGTGACAGATATCATGATCCTATTTGGCTTTACCAAAGTGAGAAAGATCTTGTAAATACCATAAATATATACACATGTTTAATCTGGGCCAGAATATGAATGATACCTTGGTGGTAAGTATGTGGGTATGTACATGTATGAATGTCATTCCTAGTATAATTCCAAAGACTTCTATTAGTATTCTAGCAGGTTGTTTTTAAAGTCATATTTCAGTGTGGATTGAATGTTTCTGATGCTTTCCTTTCTATGGTTAAGATTCATAACTGTTTTTGCCATTTTGTGAGCATGAGGAGTGCCATAGGCATGGCACGTGCTTTACGATCATATATAAAGAAAAGGTAGCCAAAGATATCAAAGGCCATAGATATCATCAGAATAAAGAAGTACTTGAATTGCCTGTTTGACTTTTAAAACCACCTGGAGGATATATCTTACCTCTTTCATAGCATCATCTATTTGTTTTAATTCCTCATAGCGGTCTCTGGATTCCCAAAGAGGTTGGAGCATCACTTCTTCAACTTCTGGAAAAAGCTAAACAAAAGCAAGAAAAATTAAGAGGACACTTTTTTTCCCTTTTTAAAAATAGTTACTTATAACTGCTAGAGCTGGAGTGAAAGTAGGTGCAGGACAGTTTCACTGGCTGACTAAAGACTTATCAAAATTAAGGTTGAAGTGTTGTAGGCAGCAGCCAACTTCTCAGAAGTTTAATAACTTACCTTTGTTACTATCTCAAACATTGGGATAAGAACAAACTTAAGGAACCCGATCTGTGCTGTTGGCTTGGTCACTTTATCTCGGTCCATGAAAGGTGCCACGGGAAGTCCCTCTGATTTTTCTCGGTCACTCTGTGAGATATTCAATAGTTAGCAAAGATTATCATTGAGAAGGAGAATGTGAAGGCAGCAATGCAAATGATCTGCTGACCAGTATTGATGGTCTGTAAGTATTAGGCCTGTGCGAAGCGGCAAGTATTTGATTTGGATTTGGCTGATTCAGAGGGACAGCGATTCGATTCGGTGATTCGCGTCACTGTCTGATTTGATTCGGCCAAATCAGATTAGAAGATTTGGTGCCGATTTGGAGATTCGGCCATAGACTAAACAGGCAGTGGTCCTCGAGGACGCTGGATACAGCTGCCTCCAGCTGATAAATCTGTTGTGGTGGGCAGAGCGGGGAGGGAAGAAGCGTGTGTGGGGAGGAACAGATCAACGCCCCCACAGTGAGGGAGGGATTGGGGCTGGGACAGGCTGCCCAGCCAGGACAGAGTGGTGCAGGACTGGCATGGGGGGCTCCCGCCACTGCGCGCCACCAGTCCAGGAGGTTATGGGAACAGGCGTGTGCCCCCAGATCTGTGCGGGGTGGGCTGGGCTGGGCCATGCTCAGGGAAGGTGGCATAAGGCACTGGGAGCAGGAGCTATGCCCTCCCACTGCTCACCCAGCCTACCTGCACCTGCTGGACAAGCCGTGGCTTTGCCCAGGCTGGGCAAGCAGCAGCAGGTCTTGGGTGTGGGTGCGTGCACCCGGATTGGGGCAGGCTGGTGGCAGGGACTATGGGGAATTTTAGGGTGGCTGCAGCACCCCCGTATTGTCCCTGCTCCACTGCACTCTGCAGGGTTGGTGGATCCAGGGCTGTGTTCTAGGCTGCGGCTGGGGCTAGCCTCCCGGAGCACAACCCTGGCTCCACCCGCCCCGTGGAGCACAGCCTCGTGGCGGGGGGCTGGGGCTGACCTCCTGGAGTGCAGCCTGGCTCAGCCGCCCTGTGCAGATCCAGGGGCACATGCCCACTTCCATGCCCTCCCGGACCAGCGGCCCGCAGTGGCAGGAGCCCCCCCCCCCAAGCACCACACCCTCCCACCCCCGCTGGGCAGCTTGTCCCAGTCCCAGCCCCAATCTCTCCCTCACTGTGCGAGCATTGATCTGCCCCCACAATACCCCTTGCCTCCCCTCTCTGCACACCACAACAGACTTACCAGCTGGAGGCAGCTGTGTTCAGCATCCTCGAGGACTGCTGCCTGTTTAGTGTATGGCTGAATCTCCGAATTGGCGCCAAATCTTTTCTGAATCAATTTGGACCTTTTAATGTGTCTCCCAATTTAATTTGGATTTGGAGATTCAGCTGCCGAATCAGGCCGAATCTCCTCCAAATTGAGTCAGCTACTGAAGCTTTGCACAGCCCTAGTAAGTATGTCTCAGTGGTGTATCTAATAACAGCAAGGGAAAAGGACTCTATGTATCATTTCAATTTGCTGCACAAATTTAGAAGTTGACTGCTTTTGTTTTAATGACGGTGTTTTATGTGGAGGGTTTACTTATTTTCCACAAATACTGCATGTACAAAAGATGGCATCTTGTAGTAAGGCCACAAAGAAGAGATTTTTAAAAGTCCAAGTCCCACTGAAAATGAAGAATGGGACTTCTTGTGTAAATCACTTTTACACATAAAAAAAGTAGCAGTATCTAGATTTTCACAGAAAAGAAGAGGGGGTCTTTGAGTTCTTCCTCCTCAGAATGATCCTTTCAGGCACCAAAGTAGAAGCAACAAACCATTTTTTATCACAATTGGCTAATTGTAGGTTACTGAATAACCTCAACTACATACAGACTCAGTGAAGGATGCCCACCTGTGCCCATAACTTTGGAAAGAGCTTACAGAAAATGAGTCTGACATCCTTAGCTGACATAAATCAGCCTAAGTCCTTTGACTGAAATGGGTCTACACCAGTGGCTCTCAACCCTTTTCAATTCAAGGCACCCCATGGGAAATGCCAGCTCTTAGTTTTCACTTGTTTATTGATTATAGAAAAATACTAGAGCAATTCTTCTGTTGCTAAAAACTCAGAAAGACCCGATAGGTCAGAATGTGTTTGACACTGGATTCCTAATTGAAATATCTGGATTTACCTTGTGAATCATGTTTGCACACTTAACAGTGTTAATATTGCATGATACCCTGCAGCACCCTTGAAAGAATTTCAAGACCCCTGGCTGCTATGGCACCCTAGTTGAGAATCACTTGTTTACACTGATTTATAGACTTGAAGACCTGACCCATTATTTCTGTAGTTTTCTAATTTGTAGTAAGAGGACAAAATACACAAAAAAATACCAGCTCTTTGTCTGCATTTGCTCTCATTTGTCGAATTGGCTGCACATTCTATTGTTTAACAGTATGGTAAAGCACATAGACACACTTTTTATTTCAAAATAATTTCTGCAGAGACAACGATCTATAGAGGCTTCTGACAGTTTGTCACAGTGGATTTTCCTCCTATCAGGAAAAACAGAGAAGTCCTCCATGTTTCTTTATCAAACTGGTTCTTCCAGCACAGAGAGAACGTAAAATGAAATGAACTAGAAAACTCTGGCATCTTGTTCTCCCAATTACTGTGAAGTTATGCTTTGCGTGATGCCAGCTGCTGCAGTATGCAGGCACAGTGCAGTGTACATGTAGGAGAAAGCAGGGGACTGCTGAGATATTTAATGCTTGTTTATGTTACAGGGTAAAAGCATCCATCACAGAGTGGGAGGGGAGTCCAGCGTGAAGCAATTGGTATGCAACCATAAAACCTGACTTTTCACAATTATTCAAGTAGCTGGTATCCTGGGAATAAATGGAATGCCTTATTTTTCTAGGGAAATGCACAATTTAGGTCATAAACATTTCAGATCATCATCACAGATACAGTGCCACCTTGGTTAATTGAATACTGCCCATTGAATTGGCTTCTGCTGCCACTGTTCTTGCCCTAAAGCTCTAAAGCCATTAACAATGACAAACGAACTCAGGGGTCAGCCCTATTAGTGACAACAACCTGCAATCTAATGACATTGGCATTTCTTGGTTGTTACTGTCATTTTACAAATCACAATACATTGCAGGCACTTTTATTCTGAACTTATTCCACTGATGGCCCTCTGTAACCTTATACAAAAGAAGTCTTTTCGTCCATGTGGAACTGAAGATAGCTAATAGGTAATAGTACCAGATAGCTTTCAGGAGGAAGGAGGAATTTTGATGATTGCCTTTCTGGATCTTTGTCTCATTCTTACCTGCATAAAATATTCCTCTAATAAGCAGTCTACCCAGGGTTCTGCTACTTCCATCGGGCGTACTTCATTGGAGATATCGCAGCATTTTATAAGCACCATTTTCAACTGAAAGAGGACAAATAGTTTTACATTCTGGTAACACAGGACTCTTCTTTGTCTCTCTGCATGCTGTGCTTCTTTTGTTTTGAGAAAGACTAGTAGGAATGAAGGAAAACTTTATGTCTGAGGCATAGGACTGAGGCTCAGGTAACCTGGTTATAATTCCTGATTCTGCCCCAGTGTCCATTGTGGCCTTGGGCAAGTCATTTAACGTCTCTCTGCTTCAGTTTTCTTATCTGTGAAATCAATATAGTGCTCACCTTCCCTTTGATGGGCTTGTGTGGCTTAATTCATGAATAACTGTAAAATGCTTAGGTATTCTACAATGGCATATACTATATGGGCCCAATCACACACTCAGTGAACAACTGACTGATATGCAGTGGAGACTAGGGCCTCTCATGTTCAATTTATCCTGGGAGAATTGCTGCTCTCCCAGGAGAAATCACAAGTGTACAGATGTTCAGGCTTTTTCTCCCAGAGTGAAAATGGCTACTCTAGGAGAAAAGTAACCAGAGTACCAACCAGGGTTGAATCACTCCCAGAAGAGTTTCTTCTGAGAGAGCAAATGTCTGTACATGCCACGCGCTTCTCTCAGAAGAGAACATAATCCTCCAATATTGCCACACACCCCACCCTGAAGAAGACAGTGGGTGCATCTACATGTTGCCCTACAGTGATGTAGCAACACACTATGGCAATGTAACAATCATGTGTCCAGCTGTGTTGTTACAGTAGTGTGCTCCTCAGATATAGCTCCCCGGATATAGCATGTGTATGCAGCCTAGGATAAAGCTAAGCAAAATGTATATCCTGACTGAAGGAATAATTATATCTTGCTCTGATGACTACAGGACAGGAGTTGGTAACATAGAGCCAGTGGGCTAGATCTGGCCTTTGGAGCCATTGTACAGCCCGTGGAGCTTCCAACCCAGTTGTTCCTGACACCGCCTGCTGGCTAGCCACACAGAAGCAACAGCAGCAGTGGCTGTGGTGGTGGTAGCAGCAGCAGTGGCTAGTTTGGAAGCATTGGTTGACCCAGCTCCAACCCAAGATGGATTGTTTTGATCCACCACTGCAAAACCTTGCTCACCACTGCTCTGGGGCTTAAACATATGCGAAAAAAAAAATCATCACTTTTTTTACCTAGAGGGCTCTCAGCTTTTTCTTTCTTTTGCTTTTATACAGAGCTATAACATCTTTCTACATTTTTGTTAATGGTGGAAATGATTGGTTTAAAGCAAATAAATGGTCCCTCACAGTACATTGCAACCCTCAAGGAAAAGGAAGGCATTTTCAGGGGTTGGGATGTGATTCTGGAATGAAGGGATGAAATCCAGTTCAGCTGTGGGCTTCCTATGTGACTTTGGACAATCTGTTTAGTCTCTCTTTAGGTCTTCATTCTCCATCTGCCCAGTGGGGTCAACAGCACTTCCCCACAGCCTACAAAAGTGCCTAAGACAGACAGACAGATGGAGCAAATCATTCAAATGTGCACTAACTGTAAAGGAGAACACAACTCCCTTTAAAACATTTACATTTACTTCAACAAACTGAACCATGGCAATCTGGCCCCAAATCGAGTTATTTCTTTTTAGATTGTTCTTTTCTAGAAATTCAAAACCTAGCAGCAAAATGAACATTTTCCTACAGAAATTGTCAATTGTTTGGACCCTGGATTTCTGCTGAAAACTGGTTTTATTAAGCATTTTGGGGGGAAGGGGGGTCAAGCCCAAAGATAAGTTGATAGAGTAATATTATCACCATTAGCAGAAAGAAGTAGTTAGTTATATTAGTACTACTAGCCATGTTAGCTCCTGACAAATGGTAATCAACAAAAGCTCCTTACACAGGTCACATGTTCCTCATTTGAGTAATCAAACTTCTCCATTTTTTCCTTGAAGGAGTCCAGTATTTCTGCATGTCTTGCCATGTCTGTTGCCAGGATTAGGGTAATTATCCCCTATCAAAGGAGACAGTAGCACATTCATTTAATATTTCATACAAGGTACAGTTCTTCCTGTGCAGAGTTGCTTCATGAATAAATTACCTTTAAAGAGGAACTTTCTTGAGATCTCCTGACAAACTGGCAGAGAAGTGGTCAGTTCTTCTGACCATTAGAGGTCCCTTCCAGCTCTATGATTCTATGAACTAGATCATTTACATAAAGAATTCACAGTGACATAGTATGGACATTGGCTATGATGTGTGTTTGATTGTATGTTGGAAGAAGGTTTAGACTGGATATCAGGAAAAAACTTCTTCACTGTTAGAACAATGAGGCAGTAGAATAGACTGTCGAGGGAAGCTGTGAACTCTCCATCACTGGAGGTGTTCAAGAAGAGGTTGGACAGCAACTGCTTGGAGATGATCTAGGCATAGCTATGCCTATATTCTGCCATGGTTATTTCCTTGCTTCTGGGCTTTGCTGGTTGCCCTGTCCCCCTCTTTCTGCTACACATTTAAGGGTGTTTTTAAGCCTTCCTCAGAGGCACTAGGTGTTGGCAGCAGCCAAGGCTGAGGATTTTGACTGGGGTGTGCCAATGGTTTTGCTGCAACATAAAGCTGAAGGTTCCTGGCCAGAGGGTTTTACCTTTCTGCTCAGCATCAGACCCACTGTCACATCATCTGGTTGCCCTGTCCCCCTCTTTCTGCTACACATTTAAGGGTGTTTTTAAGCCTTCCTCAGAGGCACTAGGTGTTGGCAGCAGCCAAGGCTGAGGATTTTGACTGGGGTGTGCCAATGGTTTTGCTGCAACATAAAGCTGAAGGTTCCTGGCCAGAGGGTTTTACCTTTCTGCTCAGCATCAGACCCACTGTCACATCATTGGTCAGGAAGGAATTTTACCCCATGGTCAG